CTTGAGTGTAGTTATCCTTTTATTTTTATAAATTTGGATTTTTATAAATTTATTCTTTGAGAACTTTTTGGTTTTTGAAATTTTTTTGCCTTCAAAAAATGTTAACTATTGTGTGAACTAAAATTTTCTAATATATCCCACTGTTTTGGTATGCATACTTTTTGACCAATTTTACTCTCTTGCTTGTGTTACTATTGAAGTATATAGGAAGATTTTAATTGGTACTTTATGATATGTGATTTTTCTTTTTGGATGCACTAAAAATTCTTTTTCTTCATTATTTTGAAATTTAATAATTATTGATCTGAGAGGTCTGCATTTTGTATTTCTCCAACCTTTGTTCCAGTGAATTATTTCTACTTGAGAAGGTGATGTGTTACCTGTGATATTGTCTATTCTGAATATTTATTCTAATTGTTAGTTGTATTACAGAGCTTTAGGTCTTTTCCTTTTTAACTCCATGCAAGATCCCAAACAATCTAAATTAATTTTTTTGTTCATTCTTTTCCCATCTACCAATAGAATTTTCCTTTAAGTCCCTTATTGTGCTTGTTATCTAATTAATTTTGTATTTTTAAATGCTTTCCATTATTTCTGGTACAGATCACCTTCTTTTCCATTTGAGTTTTTTTGTCCTTTCTCTTCTCTTACACAGTGTAGCTAGTTAACTTTTAGTTGATGTTTTTTCATTATCTTTTAGATGAGCTCCTTTACTTCCTTACTATTTTGATAGTGTTTTTTTTCTTTTAAAAAATATCTTAAACAGCAGATGAACTTGACTATAAGAGGGAACACCACCCCACCTTTTTCCCTTCCTTCCCCTACCTTCTGCATTGGAGAAGGTGATAGGAGGGGAATACTCCAGTCTGTATTCTCTTTCTTCCTTTTTTTTTTTTTTGGTTGGGCAGTGGGGTTAAGTGACTTGCCCAGGGTCACACAGCTAGTAAGTGTTATGTGTCTGAGGTCGGATTTGAACTCAGGTCCTCCTGAATCCAGGACTGGTGCTCTATCTACTGTGCTCCAGTCTGTATTCTCAAGTCCCAGTTAGGGGTTTAGAAAAAGGGCTAAAGGGGGTGAGGGGGAAACTGGTGGTTGTGGTTATGGCTGGATGCTTAAGACTGTTTATTTCATTGCTAGGACTATTGTTGCAGTCTTTTTGTTAGTCTCCTAATTTTTCTCTTCAGTTGTACTTGCTTATCCTTTTATAACCTGGAACTTAGAATTGCAGTTTTGTAGTTAATTTGGCTCCAAGCTCCAGGGTTTCCTATTTTCTCCTCTTCATCCCTAGTTGGGAGTAGGAAAGGATGCAAGTACAGAGAACACAGCAGATACAGAGGAAGCTTGGATAGTTTTCCTAACTCTGTTCATACAGCCTAATCTGGGACAAAATGCTCAGTAGCTCATCATTCTCTTTCCGTTCCTCCATACTTCCTCTCCAGGCAGCGCATGGGCCTGCCAATCACTTTATTACTTGGTCCTCATCCCTGCAACAATGCATCTGTTGATAGTGATGGAAGAACGTTTTTTTTTTAAGAGCTATCCTTTTCTTCCTTCCCAGTTTTTGTTGAGGGGAGCTAGGGAACTACCTAGTTTCTTGACTTTGTTCTACTTTTCTATCTTGGTAGGCTCATCATAAATTTTTAAAAAATATTGCATTGTTTTAATCAGCTACAATCTGCTTTCTTACCCTTCCACCCCTTCCCCCCAATTGAGAACACAAGAAAAGTAAGAGGTATTATGAACATGTAGTCAACCAAAACAAACTTCCACATTGTCCATGCCCAAAAAAAAATTTGTCTCATTCTGCACTCTTAATCCTTCACCTCTCTGTCAGGTACCATATTTCATCATTAGTCCTCAGGAATCCTGGTTGGTTATTATGCTGATAAGAGTTAAGCACAATGGTATTACATTCCATTCATATATATATGTGTATATGTTTATATCTATATATATCTATATATACACACATATACACACACACATATATATATATATAATTCTGATAAGAGTTAAGCACAATAGTATTCCATTCCATTCATATATATGTGTGTATGTTTATATCTATATATATACACACACATATACACACACACAAATATATATAGATATATATGTATATCTATATATATATAATTCTGATAAGAGTTAAGCACAATAGTATTCCATTTCTGGTATATATACATGTGTATATATAGATATATATATATGTACGTATATATATATAGATATATAGATATATAGATATAGATATGTGTGTATGTATACTATAGTTTGTTTATCCATTCTCCAATTTATGAACACCCCCTCAGATTCACATTCTTTGCCACCTAAAAAAGAGCTATAAATATTTTTGTATGTTCCCCCAATCCCCTCTTCCTTCTATTTCCCTCCTTTTTCCCTGTTGAGTGAAATATATTTCTGTCTCCTACCGTATGTATGTGAGTGTGTATTCTTTTGACCAGTTCAGAAGACAGTGAGGTTCAAATGTCAGCCAATACCACTCCCCCAACCCCTCCTCCTTGTTTATATAAATATCTACTTGTGTACCCTGATTATGTGAGAACATTTTCAATAGCTTTCCTTTCCCTCCCATCCCCCCCTTACCCATTATAGTAATATCTATTCTTAAAAGCTGTAGAATTAAAAATATCATAGAAGATGGCAAATGAAATATATATGGCATAAATGAACTGGCAGAGCTAACTAAAGGTGGGGAGTCCAGCTCATTTGTTTCATCTGGAAAGGGTCAGATATTTTGAGTCAATCTTTTCAGTAGAGGCCAAGACTCAGGACTATTGCTATCACAAAATGAAACCAGATCATAATTATGACTTTCCCCAAATTATTTACCTACCATTGTATTTTATGTGTATAAGTTAAATTAGCTAGGTTGTGATTATTTATCTATCTATCCATCCATCCATCCATCCATCTGTGATATTTTTGGATTCTTTGAACCAGAAGATCACTTAAAGATTGAATGGATGTGATAAGCTATTCTGAAGTAGGAATTTTCAAATTGGATATTAAAAAATTCTAGAAAGCAATGACTTTTTCTTCTTTTAGGCTGCTATTTTTAATGGTAGCCAGTCTGGGAAAAAATTAAGTACCTGGAAGTTATATTTTCTAATCTAGTCAATAACATTTCTGATATCCTTGTATCATGTTACATCAAAACATATTTGAAAAATGGAATGCATCTCTTTTTGCAGCAAGGAACAGTTTTGATTCATTGTGGACTTTTTTCCCCCCTGAATACCAAAGACTACTATTTGAGAACAATTTTTATTTTTGGCTTCTGAATATCAAAGTTTAAAGGTAAAAAATGGAGCTAGAAGTCCTAAAGTCCTTTGCAACGATTTTTTTTCCTGAATATTAGTTCCCTTTTATCAGCCCTGAAATCAGCTTTGAGCCTTTCAGAGGTATGACTAATAGATTTTTAGGCATAATAATTCATGTATTTGAGTAGAGCAGGAACTTCAGGTTCAATTTCTTTATGGGCTAATTAACTTTTCTTAGAAAAAAAATCTTTTCTAATTATGGATTATCTCATTAAATAACAGCCCTCCTGAAAATGTGTGATCTTATAAGGGGTTCATATGAGAAAGGCTATGATTTAAAAACCCATATTTCATACCACTACAAGAGAAAACAAGTTAGAATACTAATTAATGTTTTTTACAAGACAGTACAGTGTTTATTTTTTACCACATTGAATTGTCAGGTACCAAGAAATAAAATCCAGAATGATTCTCACAAATGAAAACAAGAAACTTATAATTATTTTTAGATAAAAAATGATAGTTTAAAGCGTTAGACTGCATAATGGTTTTGAAATTTTAGAAAACTGCATAGTGCACTCAATCCAGCAAATATACCAACTGATCAGCAAACATTTATTAAACACCAGTATTATAGGTGCTGGGCTTATAAAACCCAAAATGAAATAGTCTCTGCCCTTAGTTCACAATCCGTTGGTGGGGATACAAGTATATGCAAAATAAATACTGAGTCATTTTAGAGGTGTTAGACGCTAACAGTTGGGGTGGGAGTGGAGTAGGCAATTGGGGAAGGCTTCTTGTAAAAGGTGTCATTGAACTTAGTTTTGAAGGAAATGGAAATCTAAGAGGAAGGCAAGGAAGGGGTTCATTTTATACACAGGAACGACCAGTACAACAGCGTAAGAGATAGTGAGTGGAGTGTGCTGTGTGAGGAACGGCAACCATGGAATTGATATCTAGTTCAAATATGTATTTAAATATTTTGGGGATAATAATTGAGTTTTTCTTATTACTGTTTCACATACTCGGCTTTCAAGCAGGATTTGGCTCATTTTACAGGTGTAGTGAATATAAGACAAAGAAAATTGAAGGATGTCCATTTAAACAGGGTGAAGATTCTTTAGCCTAATATGTTCCTGTTGATCTTTTCCAGTGATATGGAGGTACTGGTACTTCTGTAATATGCTTTCCCCAGCCTGTACCTGTGCCTCTGATTTATATCTGATGTCATCAGATTTTGAGTGAGTTTGAGATAGTTTGAGTGAGAAAATCAGAAAATTCAGTTATTTGAGTAGTTGAGATAAAATAAAACTTGAAAGAATAATATTGGAATTATGTATTTAACAGTAATGTAAAAAATCCAGTTTTAAAAAAATTGAATGAGAGATTTTACACATCTTGTGAATGCTTTCTTAAACAGTAGCAGAGAATTAGTCAATCAACAAACATCTATTAATTCTTTACTATGTTTCAAGAACTAGACCAGACACTTGAAATACAAATAAAGGCAAAAACATGGTCCCTGCTGTAAGGAAGCCCACATTCTGATAGGGGAGACAGCATCTAAACAACTCAGTTCACACAAGATATTCCAACTATCTCAGGCAGAAAGCCCTTGTTGGGTTGTAAAATTAAATAGAGAGGAGTTAAATGTAAGAAGATTGAAAAGATACGTAGGGTTGAGTGTTAAAAAAAATTAATTTTCTCTATTTTTAGTGACACAGAGAGCAGTGGAAGTGAAGATAGTTCTGATGAAGAATTAATTGGACCTCCTTTGCTACCCCGAACCACCCAAGTACAATCCGAAGATACAGATGAACTCATAGGTCCACCACTGCCACCTGGATACCAGGACAGTGATGATGCTGATGATGATGATGGTGATGATGATGAAATGCAAGATGAAATTGTAAGTGTTACTGTTTTGATATATAGTACACATACACTAAACTATTTATATCACTTACTTGATTATTTCTATATGTGTTAAGTACTCAAGGTGCTGTTCTAAAAAAGTGGAACAAAAAAAAAAACAATAACATAAAAAACCTGTTTCTGATTACTACATTACAGATTACTATTTGTGATTCTTCTCTGTAGTTAGACATTTCTGAACGTGAAGCATTTCTATACAACTTCCCACCTGGCTTTGTACAATAAACTTGAGAACATAGTGTAAGACAAAGCTGGACAAGTTGTTTTAGGTCTAGTGCCCAACCCTCAATTTTAATCAGTAAGTCTTTAACATTTATTGATTGCCTCCAATGTGCCAGGCACTATGCAAAGACAAGATAGATTTTTTTTTCCTTTCAAGAAACACCTTGGATTTGGAATCTAGAGATCAGAGTTTTAATCCCCACTCTGCTACTTCTTTTTTTGTAACTCATGGCAATTTGTTTTCCTTCTCTGGACCTCGGTTTCCTTATGTGTAAAGTGAAGGGGTTGGACTAGATGATCTCTAAAGTCTTTTTAAATTTTAGGTCTGTAATTTGGTAATTAAAACACCAACAACAAAAGGGAATAAAAGAATGAAGGAGCATATATTGATTGCAATAGGGCATTGGTTTATAACCTCAGATTGTGACACAGATTGTCTTTATTGAGCATCTTGGAGAATACTCTGGAAAGGCTCTGAGCACAATCAAGTCTGCTGGCCAGAGGGTCCTGTTCCCCTGGGACCATTCTCTTTCTCCCCCCTTTTTTTTGCCCCTCAAGTACAGCAAAGATTGGAGTCGAGTTGGGACTGGAACAGTTATGGGAAGGGCAGGGGAAAGAAATAAGCATTTATGTAGCAGCTACTATGCTGTAGACCGGGGTGGGGAACCTGTGACTGTGAGGTCACGTGTGGCCCTTTAGGTCCTGAAGTGTGGCCCTTTGACTGAGTCCAAGTTTTACAGAACAAATTTTACAGAACAAATCCTTTTATTAAAGGGATTTGTTCTGTGAAGTTTGGATTCAGTCAAAGGGCTGCATTTGAGGACCTAGAGGGTCACATGTGGCCTCGAAGCTGTAGGTTCTCCACCTTTGTGCTAGACACTGTGCTAAGCTCTTTTACAAATATATCAACTGATCCTCCTAACAACCGTGTGAGGTAGGTACTATTATTATCTCCATTTGCTTAGGGTCCCATAGCTTTCTGTATCTGAGACTGGATTTGAACTCAGGTGTTCCTGACTCCAGACCCAAAATTCTATCCACGATGGCATCAGCTGCCTAGTATGGTGGTGACTAGGGAACTGCCTAGCTACCTATACTGCACAGTGTTGTTATTTCTTTTCAAATTAATGTGATTGTCTCAGATGTGAATGAATTGTTTTTCTGTGGTTTGGGGTAAAATTTCACTGAAAATTCTAGACACTGGTGAAATTGCAGAATGATATGGGGACCTGGTTTGAAACATACCTTTTTTTAAAAAAAACAAGTTTTTATTGATATTTTTTGTTTCTTACATCATCATAGTTATCCCAACTATCTCTCCTTCTTCCCTTCCCAGAAAGCCATTCCATAAAACAAATACTATTTTTGTAGAGAGGAAGAAAAAGTCAGCACATATAATCGATATATTGAAAAACTCTGAAAAAATGTGCAATGTGTAACACCTGTGGACCTTCCACTTCCTTGAAGAGGTGGGTTAGGATTGACCTCTTCTTCTCAGTTTCTTCATTCAAGTCCTTCTTGATATTTATAATTTTGTTACATTTACTTTTGATTTTTTTGGTGTGTAGTTCTCTCCCTTTACATTGTTGCTATGTATATTGTTTTCTTGTCTCTACTTTACTCTAAAATAGTTCATTTAGATCTCCCTGTGCTTCTCTATATTTATTACACATATCATTTCCTACAGCACAGTACAATACATTCATGTACCACAGTTTGTTAAGCCATTCTCCAATTAATAGGCAGCTGCTTTGTTCACAATTCTTAGCTACCACAAAAAGTGCTGTTATAAATATTTTGGGCTATTTGGGGACTTTCTTGATATCATTGGTTTTCTTGGGGTATAAACCCAGCAATGGAGTCTTTGGTTGTTCACAACATTCAAATTGCTTTCCAAATTTCACAGCTCCATCAATTACACACACACACATATGCACGCACGCACACACACACGTATATATATAATTTTTTTTGGGTAATGCAGTGAAGGTTAAGTGACTTGCCCAGGATCACACACCTAGTAAGGTCAAGTGTCTGAGGCTGGATTTGCATTCAGGTCTTCCTGACTCCAAGGCCTGAGCTTTATCCACTGTGCCAGCTAATTGCCCCCTCCATCAATAACATATTAATGTGCCTGTTTTTCCACAATCCCTCAACTATTGCCATATTTTTGGTCATTTTTACCAATTTGCAGGGTATGAGACAAAATTAAAGGGTTGTTTTAATTTAAATTTCTCTTATTATTAGTGACTAAGAATACATCTCTGGGGCAGCTAAGTGGCACAGTAGGTAGAGCTCTGGACTTGGAGTCAGGAGGACCTGAGTTCAAATGTGACCTCACATACTTGGCACTTAGTAGCTGTGTGACCCTGGGCAAGTCACTTAACCCTGATTGCCTCAGCAAAAAAAAAAAATACATCTCCTACCCAAAGTTGTGAGAGGTATATGATCTGATTCTCTTTTAATAGTTTGATCTTTAATATTAAGGTTGCATATCCATTTAGAATGTATTGTGGAATGTGGTGTAAGATATTCATCTAAGCCTAATTTCTGTCGGGTTGCTTTCTAGTTTTCCTAGCAGTTTTCATCAAATAGAGTTTTTTCTAGGTGATTTATGGTTTTCATTTTTATCAAACATTGAGTTATTGAGTTCTGTTGTTTCAGATTCTCCCTTATCTAGAATGTTCCATTGATCTATCTCTCTGGTTTTTAATAAATACTAGGTGGTTTTCTGGAAATTTATTTCCATGTTTTCTCTTTTTTTTTTCTGTTAGACTTATCAAAAACTGATAGAGGGATATTGAAGTCTCCTGTCACTATTGTGTGCTGTCTATGTATTCTTGAAGTTCAGATTTATAAATTTGGATGCTGCAGCATTTGGAGCATATAAATTCATTACTGATATCGATTTGTTGTTTGTTTGTTCTTTTGGCATAGAATAGTTTCCTTGTTAATCATTTTTTTTTTTTTTGAATGTTTTTACTTTGTCTGATAGCATGATGTCAACTCTCGCATTTTTGGATTCACTTGATGCATAGCAAAATTTTTTCCATCCCTTCAGTTTTAGTATGTGTAAGTCTTTTATTTTTTTAAATGTATTTTTTGTAAGCAAGAGATTGTAGTTTTATTTTCTTATCCAAGTGTTCAGTAAAATGATTTATTCCTTTCATATTTAAAGTTATGAGTTAGGTTTATATTTTCCTCCATCTGTCTCTCAAATTGTTTTTTTAATTATGATTTTTTCTCCTCCTCTACTGTTAACACAGTATGATGGTCCTTCATTTGCTTTAATTTCTTTTTAACATGGCTCTGTTCTTCCTGGTTCTCTTACCCTCCCCTAGATCCTTTTCTTATTGGTTACCTTTTCTTTTTAGGGTTTGCTAGTTCCTCTCCCTTGCTTTTTTCTGGGTATATATTTCTTCCCTCTCTTTTTTCCCTCTCAGTCAAGTAGATTCTCCCTTCCTCTCCTCCCCTTCAGCTAGTCCTGTTCATTAGTTTTTTGTTCATTTTTTGTGTCCCTTTTATTTATTTATTTTAATTTATCAGTAATTTTTTTTTTTAATATGAGGCATTTGGTTAAGTTAGTTGCTCAGAGTCACACAGCTAGTGAGTGTTATGTGTCCGAGGCCAGATTTGAACTCAGGTCCTCCTGACTCAAAGGGCCGATAGTCTGTGCACTGGGCTACCTAGCTACCCCATCCCTTTTCCAAAAGGATTTCTCTTACTCTCTTCATTATACAATGTCTTTTTCTGTTAGACCCTCTTTCTCTGATTCATGATCTTTTTAATCATCTGGTCTCTCCTTTCCCTGTATTCTTCATGAAATTAAAGCTTCTACAATATTCATTCTATAAGACTCTGTTCTGTAGGTGCTTTCTACCACTTCCTTGTAGGGCTTACCTCATGGAGTCCCCTTTTCCATTGTGCTTCTCTCTCAGAACAATGCCTATTATGGCAAGTGTCAGAGAAGACACTGCCCCATAGAAGGGGACCTCCCCACCACTGATCTATACTTTCTCTTCTTTACCTTTTATTTCCTACACTTAATGGAAATTTCCTCCGTGTCCGTGCTGTCCTAGTCCTCCAGGTGCCAATTGCCATTAGGGATTTCACCTCGTCCTTTTCCAGAACAAATAGACTTTTTAGGTACCAAATCCCCCAGGCCTCATCTAGTGTAAGATCCTCATCTTCTTTCACCCATAAGAGCATTCATCAGTAGAACCCCTTCCTACCACCAAAGTAAGGCTTCCTTCTTTTCATCATATTTTCAATCTTTCTCCCCTCCTCTTCACCCATTCCCCTGTAGGCTTTTTGATTTTGGAGACCACAGAAGTCACCATCTCCTCATTGGTAATTCTTGACTTGACCCTGGTGCATCACTCATTCTTTTCTGTATCCCTACTTTCTCCCCCTCCCCCTTTTATGTACCCTCCCATGTTATAATGTAGTCCCACAAAAGAATCATTCGCCTGTAGGCAGGTTGTTGCCAGGTTCTGTTTATAATGCCCTTTGGGCTCCTCTTCACTGTTACCTCTACCAGATTTCAGCCTTCACCTCTGTTTCCTTGTGTATATTTAGGAATAATTCTTTTACTGGTCTTTCTGTTATCACTCTGTTCCTATTGCTGTCTCTGTTCACTTCTCCTGCATTTTTCTTGTTTGTGATATTTGAAAAGCAAATAATCTCTTCTGTTCTGGTTTTCCTTCTAAAAATGTTTCAAACTCTTCTTTATTGAATGTCCATTTTTTTGTC